ATGTAATTTGTCGGATTACAAGGTACTCTTTTTCCAAAAAGTTCCCGACTACCAGGGGGCTGTGGCAGTACTCTATAGTCCGACAAATTTGATAATCCGACACCGTCTTGCAAAACGTTTGTCGGATTACCGCGGATCTACTGTAGTCCGACTAGGCAAGTCCAACTTCGACCGAGAGGTCAATCGACGGATTCAACTCGGCTGAGCAGCGTTCGGGAAATTACGACATATCTTCTCGTCAGGTATACCTCAATCTCTAAAAACTAGATTGTACAACCAGTGCGTGTTGCCAGTGATGACTTCGGATCTGAGACGTGGTCCTTCACTGCTGGCCGTACGAGGACGCTCAAGGTCGCTCAGCGAGCTATGGAGAGGGCTATGCTCGGAGTTTCTCTGCGTGATAGACTCAGAAATGAGTATATCCGCAGTAAAACCAGAGTGAGCGACATAGCCCAACAGATTGGTAAGCTGAAGTGGCAATGGGCCGGCCATATAGCTCGAATAACCGATAACCGATGGGGAAGAAAGGTTCTCGAGTGGCAGCCTCGTACCGGTAGGCGTAGTGTAGGGCGACCCCCCACTAGATGGAGTGACGACCTGGTAAGGTATGCAGGAAGTCGATGGATGCAGGTGGCTCAGGACCGTGCTTTGTGGCATTACTTGGGGGAGGCCTATGTTCAGCAGTGGACTTGTGAAGGGCTGTAATGATGAATGATGATTGTTATAATAATATAATCCTCCTTCGGCATCATTATCCTTTACAAGACCACAGCTGTACGCGGACACATCCGGTTGTAGGAGTTTCATAATCGTTACCTGTAGCAGGCATTTTGACGATCGCAACACAAAAAGGCTCTTAAGGCACGGAAAACGTTATTATACCTCTTCCGGTTGGTAGCGCATGAGTTTAACTCCATACTTTATACAGTGTGTGATTATGCGATTTTTATGGCATTACACCAACGTATTGTATGAGTAATTTTGGTCCATAAGCAAGGAATTTGTTAATAGCTCGATGACAACGCCACCTATCGCATCCTAGTTGATATAAATTAATGTCTCGATGACACAAACATATTGTATGTATATAATATATACCTACCTCAATCCATCAAATCATTCAAATGTTACATAACTAATTACAGTCCCACTATAAAATATATGGTTGTATCTATCTCATAGAATACCACTATTAAATAGCAGCGTACTGCTGCTGTGTTTCGTACGGTGAGTGTAGAGACTCGGAGACTCTATTCACACACACGTTACAGTATTCTTTTCTATAAAAAATAATTACTTGTTATTATTAAATTAAAATTTATTATGTAATTTATTTACTTACGTAATTTCATAGCAGCTGTACACACACATACCAGTTCATCAAGGGAATAAGTAAGGACATGTTATGTTTGCTTCGAAAACTTTCTACGAATAAACCACATTCAACGTTGAATAACACATAGTTGCAAATTAGTTAAGGCTTTATTACACGAGTCTTTATCTAGTAAATGAATATCAATAATATAAGCTTAATGGATATTTTAGAATATCGAGTATATGATATGACAGTATTTGGTTTCGTAAGTTAGCTTACTTGCAGTGGCGGTATAATAATATCCACTACCCCATATCATTCATTCCGTGTGTCGTATGACGCAGCAGAGGGAAACAAATCAAACAAATTAATTTTTTTTTTTATTTGTTTGATTTGTTTCCCTCCCCGGGTTGCCAACCCGCTTGTCGAGCGTGGCAACTATGGCAAATATCCACCCTGTGAGGCAATCTATAGGAGGGACCTATGTTCAGCAGTGGACTTATTAGGCTGTAATGGTAACGGTAAGTAGACTTTCAAAACTTTTAATAACATTAACGTTACACAATTGAAAGTTAAGCGATCATGGTAATTAAATCCAACCACAAATCCATAGCTAGTACTACTGCATCTATCAACCCTTATATGTTTCATCAGATCGTCAACATATTAATCACGGTCTCAATAAGAACTGATGAAAAGCTCCAAGAAGGTAAAGCTATATAAGGCCATGGATATCCAGAGCTTTTGAAGAAAGCACTTAGCCAAAAAAATTACCGGAGTGATCCATCCACTAGTATCGAAGGTGCGGGCTACAGTCGACAGCACGGAGTGCTTGGTCCGTGATTTAGGAGGGGGATTGAGTTTGAATCGATACGTGAAAGTATCCTGAACAGGCTGATATTGAATGCCCAGCACAGTCAACAAATTAGGATTGTCAGGGTGCTCGAATAGATGAGGGTCTTGTTGATCCTCTCCTGGGAGGTCCTTCAAAATATGAGGGGAGTTCGACAACCATTTGCGCAACTCATAACCTCCGGACTTTAGGATGGCAATCAATTCGTCTCGCAATACAAGAGCCTCCTCGACGGTGGAGGCGCCCATGCAAATGTCGTCCATTTAGACCGAAGTCTCCAAAATAGAAGCCCCCCGAGCGTATCTTAGACGCTCCCTCTCAACGAGTTCGAGGAGGGTTCACATGGCGATATACGGGCTGGACCGGAGTCTATAGGTGGTGGTGTTCAACTCAAACACCTGTATCGGATCTCTGGGCTTCTCGCGCCACAATATCAGCTGATATTGACGGTCATCACGATGGACCACTGATTGTCGAAATATCATCCGAATGTCGGCTACAAAAACCACTTGGTGCCGATGGAAGTGGGTCAAAATGTCGGATATGTCCTTGGTCAATTTAGGACCAGAGTGGAGACACTGGTTCAGGGACAAACCATTTGACGAGGGGGCGGAGCCGTCAAAAACTACCCGAATCTTACTCCCAGGGGTCCTCAAGACCACACGGTGAGGGAGGAAGTAGTGCTCCTGTGGCCGCCAGTCGAAATTGGACGGTGACATGTGACCCAGCTCTTGATACTCGCGCATGAACTCGATATATTTGTAGTGAAAGGCTGGGTCGCGCCGCATACGGCGCTCCATTGAAAGCAACCTCTTTTCGGCCAGGGTACGAGATTGGCCCAAAGGGGGCCGTGAGTCAATAAAGGTTAAGCGTGTGACAAAATGACCGTCGGCCGTCTGAGGAGGTGGATACCACAGAACCGGTCCAAAGAAACTGTGCCTAAATACTGTGGACATGCCTGACAAGCCATCGGGCTGTAGGGCTCGATTCCTAACAAGATGAGCCCCAGCGCGTCAGCCCCCAGCAACAAATCTATAGATCCAGGATGGGAACATTGAGGGTCTGCCGGTCTCAAACCCGACGCACAACGAACCGCGCTATTATTTATACGGACGTTAAGGAGAAAACCTACAATGTCATCGAGGACATTTAGCTTAACTAGAATGTGAAGGTGTTCGCTGGCAGGGCCAAACACCAACTCCGCTTGTCCCCTAGGAACAGGAGGCTCGGCACCGCCGACACCTACCATTGGACGTGATTCAGAGCTCCAGGGGAGCCCTAGTCTTCCCACCAACCAAGTGGAGGCCACACAGCGTTGTGAACCCGAATCCAATAGAGCGCGAACTGTTAAACAGTCGCCACTCGGGTTGTACACCTTCACTGAGGCCGTCGGCAATAGAACAGTTTGACAAGTAGACTGTTGACGGCTCAAAGGATCAGTGGAGGCGGCTGTGGTGGGAGCTAGGGCGGCAGCTACCTAGCTAGGGCTGCCTCCATCGGACCGGCACTTGAACCGGGGGTCTCGAAAGCGGCATTCCGGCGGCATCTCAACGACCCGGGGTTAGAAATAACCGAACGGGCCGACCTGGGAAGCTTCAGCGAACCTCGGCCTTGAGGCCCGGGACAGATTCGAGGTCGCAGGAACCGCTAAGTGGCCGTGAAGTTCCTCTCAACACGCTGAGAGGGGTGACGACCTCCCCCCCGCCCTTAAGGGAAAAGTTCACCGACTGGTCGGGGGAGGGACCCCCTTCAAACCCAGGGGCACGGTGGCCGGCAGGGGAGCACCGAGCGTCGGCTGATGGGGGGCGTGGCTGAGCGCCCCCGCCCGTGGAAGTTGAGGGCCTGGCAGAGCCCCGAGAGGAAGCGCCGTTCGCACCCAGGCAGCCGCGCGTCAACTTATAGTGCATACGGTACCTATACGCTTAAAATGTTTCTATTTCGTAGCTTATTCGACTACCTGCTTTCGATTTCGGTTGTTTGTTATTTCGTCGTTGCGCGTGCATTTTTCGCTATGTGTTTTACCCTACTTTTCAGGAGAGACAAAAAACTGATTATATCAAGTTGTGTGTGAGTCATTATAATACTTTTTTGTATGGTAATAGTAATAGCACAATTTACATATTTTAACGTTTCTATCTTTGTCAAATACCTTATTAAAAAGCTAGAAAAAAAGAATTCGATTATTTCTACACATAGCGTTTATAATTAGAGTCATAAATATCTGCTAACTGTCTACAGAGCACATAGCGACAAATGGAAGTCGCATCGCCTACTATATATGTGCTGCTTTTTTCACATAGCTATTATATAAAACACCATTTTTTATATCAAAATAATATTTATTTAGAAAATTGTCAGACATATAGTAAGAAATGACACAAGAAATAAATATCCATTATAGCAAAATTAAAAAAAATATATATGCAATGTTGTAAAATAAGTATTTTTTTATAAAGTAGTTAGGTAATGAATGAAAAATAAATTTCAAAAATGTGTTAGGTAAATTAATGACTTAATATATCATAAAAAAATGATAGTCGCGATGCATGTACTGCTTCAGACGTTGTAGATGATTAAATTTGGTTACATCTACTATTGGTTCTCTACTATTAATTCTCCTTTGTGGTAAAGCTTTCCATTCATCAGAATAGCGTACTTTATATTGCACTTCACCATTGACGTAAAGAAGTCCTCTGATATCATTAACAGTGGCATCACCAGTCCTTCTGCCTGGTCTTATTGTGGTGAAATTGCCAGACATTTCTTCATAGTTTTTAAAGAAATTGAAATCTAGATAATGAACAACGTAGGGCTGCGAGGGCCTACATTGTCTCATCCTGGACACATAATCCATTGGTGTAAAAATTGGTGCCTTAAACTTTTTTCTAGAGTGGAATGGACGTTGTCCACTTCCATCACTGTATGCTCTTTCTCTAATATAATTTGCTCAATGGTAAGCTCTTTCACAGCACTTAAATTAGCTAAGGCACTGCATAAAACTTTATTTTTATTTTGATATGCACAGCCGTCAGAAATAAGAATTACTTTCTTTTTGTTTCCACAATACACTTCTAAAAAGTTAATGATGCAGCTCGTAATATTATTCGCTGTTATTCCTCCCTCTCCTTCATGCCAAACGTATAAATATACATCCTTAGTATTTTTTACATAAAACGTATAATTATGCAGAGCTAATTTCATTTTATAATATTGCTCAGAAACGTGAAGTTTAGGAGACAGCAGCACGCTTTGCATATCCATTGATACAACCACAACATCGTCGGACATTTCCTGAATAGCATTAGACTTAGCAGAGTAGGCTTCCTCTTTCTTCTTGATGTGTAGTGTATACATAGCTTTAGGAATGTTTCCCTCTTTGTGCCCAACACACAGATCGCATTGATCTTTCCGTGGCTTAAAAATTGAAATTTTATTATCTTTTAAAGTTTCCTGAAACCGTTTTCTTTGTACTGCAGAATAGTTGTTCTCTTGGCACCAAGCTATGTAGACCGTATGCATGTGTGTCATTAACTCGAAAGAGGCTTCCACATAAACACGACTAGTGTTGCTTCGGCAGTAATGGCTGGGTACCTTTGGTATTATTTCAAGCCATTTCGTAACTGACTCAGACCTAAGAACCCTGGTACCAGCCCGATTAGAACTATCAGCAGCTACTCTTCGGACTATGTTAATCGCTCCACTATTTGTTACATCAATGTCGAACTTCGATCATCCACAACTGTAGAACATCTTTTTTTAAGTCTAATGTGGCTAAAAATAACTGCTTGCAAACACGTAGTTTAATACCGTCAAGCCCCCGTAAATAGCAATCAAACCCGCAATTCTTTTTATTAACATCTGCGGAGACATTTCAACGGCGAGCAATCTGCCTTGGTTGGATAAGGCCGTTTACGTAGGTTTTCTTAGCATCCCATGTAGGGAGTTGCCAAAAACAATGAAATATATCTGCGCGCATATTATCGTATATTGCAGCGCAGGCAAAACTTCTTGTGGAAATTTTAGGCGCTCCATGTTCACAAGTCTTTTCTCTCATTTTTCTATTTGTTTTCGTAACTTCTTGTATTCCAATTTTATCTTCTTCTCTAACAACTTGTTGCCCTGTATAAGTCATGCCTAAAAGCCTTAATTTTTGTGCCTTCTTTCGTTTTTTGTTCTCACTAAGAGCCACTTCCTCCTCATTTTGTGGGATGGAAGTGTAAATATTTTCTTTTTCAAAGAGCGGTTAAAAATTCCAGTTTATTCATTCAACTGCAGCATAACGTTAGCAGGAACTGGTGTATTAGTAATGTTTGCCTCATTATCATTTTGTATTTCTAATCAGGAATCAGATGTTATGCTGATATTAGCAGTAGTAGTAGTTATTAAACTTTGAGTTGTACCTGTAATCCCTGAAGCTAATTCCGCATTTGTAGAACAAATTATATTTGTGAGGTCGGTAAAAGTACTCATGCCAACGTCGGCGTATTCACCTTCGTCAACAGCTTGAATAATTATCGATGGAGCTGGAGGTGGAAGTGATGGAAATAATATTGAAGATGATTCTTCTTCTAGCTTCATTGCTAAATGGTGTATCGATTGCTGTTGATCTTCTACGCATAACGATACAAGCTGTTTACTTCTCTAAAATCTTGGCATGTTCAGTTCCTAAAAAGCGGTAAAATATAAAGCGTTAGTAAACAGTAGCAAAATTAGTATTAAGATATTTAGATAAAAATTTCATTCATTTATTGAAATTCTTGTACCATAGTAAAACATTACATTAAGATGTTAAGTCATACTTTAGTTAGGGAAATATTAGTTATTGTTCATTAGAAATGCTGTTTGAAAACAATGTTTAAAAGATTGCTTTTCCTAAGATAAATAGTAAATTTATATTGGTTATGTAAGAATAGTAATACACATTTTTAATGAAAAATAGTTTAAACAGGAAAAACTTTCCAAATACGTAACCACAATCTTAGCAAACTAAAACCAAAAGCAACCCTAAGAGGAATTTATTAGTAAATGAAAAAATGTAGGTACTTACTTGGTAGGTATATTTATATATTTGTTCATCAACGATCCCAAAAAGTTATTAAATTTACAATTATAGGTATAACTTGCACTAATTTTTCTGTGTGATTTGTTGAACAGTTCGAATGACACTGACTAACTTAATAGACAATCTCTGTTATGTGACGCTCGACGAGCGCTTTACACGACTGAACTGGTCCGAACTTGTCAGGAAAAATATCGCTATGTGCAGGGAATCATCGCATATCGGGCGCAATTCATAAGTCTACTACTACGATGAACTTTTTTAGCTATGTGATTTAAAGCACATATTGATATTAGACGCGCATTGAATGTATGAACCTCACATGGCTATTTTTCGTAACTTTGTATACGTGAATCTTACACAAAAATCTGTTTTTGTAGCCTATGAGTATTAACTTAAAGATCAGAATGGCATCAAAAACAAAAAAATGAAAAAAAACACATAGCGATTTCTGCACGCGCAGCGACGATTTGCTTTGTGATTTGGTTAAGGGGATAGAGTAAGTTAGCTCAAATTCTAATTTCGTCCCCACTTGCCCGCGCGTCGTATGCTATGTACCGACATGTTTGTAATCACTAATACTGTAAGTAGAAAGGTCGTTAGACACTTATTTCATTAGGTTTATCATATTTATGCCTGTTTCTTAACGCCAAGGCAGTGGTTTATTATTTTTATTACGGTTATTTCCCATTTTAATTTTACGTCGTCCTGTTGCGTAATGTATATTCTGATCGTAAGCGACACAACATCCGCCTTCAAAGGCCGAAGCGAAGTGACCGTGCGGCAGGAATCACGCTTCAAGAGGCCGATAGTTTAGGTTATTTTCTTTTTACAGTGAAAATAATGGTATTTTAAAAAAAGTAAATAACATAAGCACTGCTTTATAGTTAGTTCAGTTAGTATGCAAAGTTTCATGATCTTATTTAAAGTATTTTATGAATAACAGCGGTTTATTGTTTATTTTGGAGGTAACTTTGGATTTTTTTTTCTATCGAGAAAATTTTACGAAATCGTGTTTTCCTCTAACATAATCCTTAACATTAATCCTCAACATTACCATATATTTATTTCAAAATTAATGCTGCAATATTTTCGGTATAACGAAGGATCTTGCTAAGCCATTTGAGATTATATTTCCCCTTAAGGTTGAATGGATTTATATTGGCTTTCATTTTCGGATTTGTGTATTTTCTTGGATCGGTTTTGTTGATTTGGTTGGTATTCCTTTATACATATTTAGACTCTGGCTTTGATTTTGGATTTTGTTTATTTAGAATCGTGAATTGGTTTTCGTTGTTTTAGGTTGTTAAACAATATTTCAAAGGAATATTAATAGTATAGATAGTGTATACGGTACCTATACACTTACTTCTTTTTTCGTTGGTTATATTTATATTGACTACTGCTTTCGATTTAGGTTTTCTGCGATTTGTTTTGTGATTTGGTTTAAGTTGATTCGATTTTTTGGCTATTGTTTTCGGATTCGTGTTGTGTTTTGAATTGGTTTTGTTGTTTTGATTTTAAAAAATATTTAATTCCTTTTAGATACGTATTTTATATTTGCTTTAAAAAAATATTTAAAAGGAAATTTAATATTTAAAATGTTTTTTTATAAATAGGTTTTTTGTTACTTCATAATGCCTCGCAAACTTAAGTCCAGCCTTTCAAGAGTATCTTCTCAAAGACAAGCGAAAAGATTAGCTCGATCGCTAGAATCTTTAGAAGATGCTGAACTGAGAAGGCAAGAACAAGCAAGGCGTCAGGCTACTTTTAGAGCATCTGAGACACCTCTCAACGTCAGTAAAGGCGTCTTGAACAGACAGAGCGTCAGGCTGCTTTAAGAGCTTCCGAAACACCTTCTCAAAGTCAGGAAAGGCATCTTGAACAGGCAGAGCGTCAAGCTACTTTAAGAGCTTCTGAAACACCTTCTCAAAGTCAGCAAAGGCGCCTTGAATAGGCAGAGCGTCAAGCTACTTTAAGAGCTACTGAAACACCTGCTCAAAGTCAGCAAAGGTGTCTTGAACAGGCAGAGCGTCAAGCTACTTTAAGAGCTACTGAAACACCTGATCAAAGTCAGCAAAGGCGTCTTGAACAGGCAGAGCGTCAATCTACTTTAAGAGCTACTGAAACACCTGCTCAAAGTCAACAGAGGCTATTCGAACAAGCGAAACGTCAGGCCGCCTTAAAAGCCGCGGAAACAACTGATGAAACTCAACACAGACTCATTGAGTAAGCTGAACGTCAATCTACTATAAGGGCATCTGAAACTCCAGAACAGACACAAGCGCGAAGAGATGCAAATGCACAGCTCCAAGCTGAACGTCGACAAACTTTTCAAAGAAACAATTGGTCGGTTTTTAATGACGCAGCATTCAATTATGATCCGTTGATTGATTATAAAAATCACAGGTTAGTTGTTATCGGACTGATGGACAAGGCGTGTCGATTTTGCAGCGCTTTAAAATGGAAATATGAGACCGCAGGCATGTGCTGTTCCAATGGCAAAGTGTCACTTCCGTTACTTGCGGAACCAGAAGAACCTTTGAAAACTCGGTGACGAAGAAATTGAGGTAGACCGTCGCTGCCAATTTATCCAAGGAGTTGAGAGAGACACAGTGTTCAAATTTCAAAGATTCTTTCATGAACGTAACATTTTAGTCAAATATTTAAAACTGCTTTAGAAAACCTACCTGAAGAGAATTATGAAGTCGTCATTCACACAGATCGGACCCCTCGAGGAGAGCATGAAAGGCGCTACAATGCACCTTTGATAAACGAAATAGCAGCCGTAATTAGTGGTGATCAATTTTCTTCGCGAGACATTGTCTTGCGAGCTCGTGATGATACGTTGCAACGGGTAGCCGATACACACAAGTTTTATGACGCTCTGCAATACCCATTAATTTATTGCAAAGGACAAGAGGGTTATCATTTTCAAATTCCACTCATTAACCCGGTCACAAAGGAGCCTACTCCGAACAAAAAAGTATCATGTATGGATTTTTATGCGTATCATTTGATGTCGCGAGAAAATGATTTCAACCTTTTAGCCCGGTGTAGACAATTATTTCATCAATTTTTGGTAGACAAGTATGTGAAAGTAGAAAGTGAATCATCATTCGTTAACAGTCCCCGCTAGCTACATGAGTACACACAAGACGCATGAGCCTATGTACGAACTTACGGAAGACCTGATCTTTTTGTTACTGTTTTTGTGACTTTAAATAACCGAGGACTAATTCCGGGCCAAAAAAGTACTGACAGACACGATTTAGTTGCATTTAGATTAAAAGTA